CCGAAACCAAGCCACGGTAAACAAAAGCAAGGCCGCCAAAAATTAATGTATCCTGACTACATCGCAAAGCTGATCAACAACGATTCTTAGCCATCGGTCGACGAAATGAGAAAAGCTGCCGCCAACAGAGAGAGTTGGTCTAAGATTATTGTCGCCTGCAAACCCAGATTGTTCGCAGTGGCAAGAATACACTTTTCAACGTAGTTATCTTTCCGAATGCAGTTTAAACATCTAACATCGGTACCAATCTTTTGCATAGCTTTTTGATACGCTGTCCCAATAAATATGTTTCTTCTCCAAAGTAAGAAAGTGTAAAATAAACACTTCTTAATTTCGGATGAATTTCATTTTTGCTCTTCAACTGTTTCGCGATTACTTCCCCTTGTCTGAAACCTTTACGAATAATATGAGAAGGGTAGCCATTGTCCGTTAATGTTCTTGTCAATTTATTGATTTCAATTTTTACAAATTCTTGAGTTGAACAAATTCGACTGTATGACAACAGATTTAATTTTTTTTCTTCTATATCAGTCATAAAAATATTGACTAAAATTGGAGCTAAGTAACCCCCCATTGCAACTCCTTCTGGTTGTACGTTAAATGTAAAAACTGTAGTTCACAGTATATGGGTAAAACTAAACGACAAGCATGTAGACGACTGTGTGAACATGGATTACCTAAAGATACCTATAGTTCTCAGTCATCTCAGTCATTATCCAATGTGAACTCATCCTCTATGACCACAGCAGCACAATCAATGAAAACAGCTCGAGTAGCTAAAACAAAAGCTACTCAGAAAATAACGGAACAGGTTAAACTAATGAATGCCTCTGATCGAAAGATTCTCAAAGAGATTGATAATTATTCAGACATTAAAGATGTGAAGTCTGCTCTACAAAAATATGTTGAAGATACCTCTCACACTATTGATTGCGAGAATTGGCGTATAATGGACAGGGACAAAGTTGAATATCGATTGTTAGTCAAAGAGTCTCTGTTAATAGCATCATTAAATCCTGACTTAAATCGTACAGTTAGGTCTGTACCTTTGATTGTGTTTCCCGACGGCTTTTCTCAGAGAAAGAGCAAAAGGAATATTGATCCAGGCGGATAGAGAAATGTTATGAAGAGTGAAACAAAAGGGACTGATAATATAATTACTAACTGACTGTCTACAAGTAACACACTATATATACAGACAAAATTCTTCTTCCTTTTCACAACATTTCATGCGTAAAGTACAGTAATGTTCTGTGATATTCTTTGAAAATGACTCTGTGAAGAGTCGAAACGTCAGATCCTTTTTAATAAAATAGATTTCAGTTTAGTCTATGGCTGCTGTTAATTTAAAAAGGAATATTCTAATCAAATTATTGGCTCTTAATCGTTTTAATGTTCATTCTTATCTCCGGCGGCACTATGAGCCTAATGTTAGTTATATGTTTCGTGATTATGTTACGTTACAGTTGAAAGTTCGGAAAGTAGAAATGAATTTGATATTTTGCGAACGTGTTTACATGAACAGTTAAAACCAGTATTTATTCGTATCAAGTTACCTCGACATATTCAACATAGTAAGGCTGCTACTCAGTTAAGACTGCGATCGTTGAGAATTGAAATCAAGTTCAAGCGTAAAGTGTTAAGTCAACTTCATCGTCGGTCAAAGAGCATATTTTCATTTATTGAAACAATGACTAGCTCTACAGTTTATTCGAAGTTACAGATAATTAAAAGCTCAATTGTCAATGATAAGTCGAAGTTATGGAGGAAAACATTAGTAAATAAGTTAATTAAGTCAGGTAGAAGTTGTCAGCATATTGGAGTAAAACTAAATGTGCAAGATCCTATCAAACATCCCCTGAATTTTTCGAGACGAATATTAACTGAAGATGAAGAAGAAGTACTGATTAATGGTCTCCAACATGTATATTCTCCACCGGTTTCCAGTGAAAGGGATTTGATAAGTAACATAGAATATTTCTATATTTGATTGTTAGGTTTCAAAACAGAGTATTATGATTATGATAAGAAAAATGATGATGATATTATTTCCTATAATTTTACTCCAGCTCGAATAAGTGGTGCGATAAACCTACGGTGTATTACTGATAAATTTATACACCGTTCGAGGCATGAATTACGCAATGCCCACGATTTATCTGCAAAATATCGAGATATACTAAAGGCTTTGGTGAGTGATAAATCAATTATCCTGGATAGAGCTGAATATATAGAAAAAATGAATGATATTGTAAGTGATACAAAGACATTTCGAAAAATTACATTTGAATCCACTATTAGTAAAGAAGACAAACTTAAAAGTCTTAAAGTCTTTTTTGTTGGCGGCAGCTTTTCTCATTTCGTCGACCGATGGCTAAGAATCGTTGTTGATCAGCTTTGCGATGTAGTCAGGATACATTAATTTTTGGCGGCCTTGCTTTTGTTTACCGTGGCTTGGTTTCGG